ACACTTCACAATAGAGTATTTTCAAATGTTCAATATAGGGATTCACCATCAGTGGTTATGAAGCAAATGCAAATTCAATCCAAAATGAGGTATTATTATACTCCCATCAGAATGACAAAATTTAAAAACTGACAATAGCAAGTATTGGTATGGGAATGTTAAACTGGTATAATCACTTTCAAAAACTGGCAGAATTTAGTAAATCTAATATGCATATCCTATGACCCAGCAATCTGACTAGGCACATACCCAATATATATGCGTATATTTTTATACCAAAGGACAGGAAAACACAAATGTTAATAGCAGCAACATTCATAATCGTCCCAAAGTGAAGTAACCCAAATGACACCAGAGTAGAAAGGGTAAACTGTAGTATACTCATACAATAGAATTGCTGTATAGCAATAAAAAAAAAAATGACCACAGGCCAGGGGCGGTGGCTCACAAGTGTAATCCCAGCACTCTGGAAGGCCGAGGCAGGCAGATCACGAGATCAGGATTTTGAGACCAGCCTGGCCAACACAGTGAAACCTCTCTACTAAAAATACAAAAATTAGGCCGGGCGCGGTGGCTCAAGCCTGTAATCCCAGCACTTTGGCAGGCCGAGGCGGGTGGATCACGAGGTCAAGAGATCGAGACCACCCTGGCCAACATGGTGAAACCCTGTCTCTACTAAAAATACAAAAATTAGCTGGGCGTAGTGGTGCATGCCTGTAATCCCAGCTACTCGGGTGCGTGAGGCAGGAACATCACTTGAACCTGGGAGGCAGAGGTTGCACTGAGCTGAGATCACGCCACTCACTGGACTCCAGCCTGGTGACAAAGGGAGACTCCATCTCAAGAAAAAAAAAAAAATGACCACTATAAGCAAAGTATAGGTGAATCTCACAGTCCTAAGACTCAGCAAAAGAAGTCAGACATAAGAGTTTGTACTTCTAACATTTATATAAAGTTCAAAATCAGGTAAAACCAATCTATGGTGACAGAAATCAGAATAGCGGTTACCTTAAGAGAAGTGACTAGGACGAGGCAAACTGGAGACTTCTAGGGTATTGGTAACGTTCTATACTTGAACCTCTGTCGCAGTCACCTGGCTGTGCTAACTTTGTAACAAAGTCCATCAGATTTATGCACTTCATATATATATAGCACTTAAAAAAAAATGAAGGGAAGAAGGGAGGAAGGAAGAGAGGTGTAGATGGAAAAGGAAGAGAAGGAGGGAAGCTGACCTTATCCCATAGACAATGAATGGTTGTTGACGGTTTTAGAGCAGAGAAAGGGTGTGATGTTTCATGAAGCATTTTCTTGGCTGTGCAGGATTTATTGGAAAAGCAGAAATACTAGAAGATGCACCAACTAGCAGACTACTGTCATAATCCTGGCATCCAGATCACCTGATATTTATTCCATATATGGCTAATAATTGAGGTGTGGCAATGGAGGAGGGACAGAGACAATATAAAAGAAAAATCTGATAGGTCTTGCTGACTGAACCTAAGCTAGAGAAAAAATGGAAAAAAGGGAAGGGTCAAGTTCCCTGTGAGGTTCTGAGTCTGGGTGACAAATGTCGCTAATGACAAAAGTATCAACAACTCAGGTCAGGTCACTGTAAGTATTGGTAAAAATGCAAAACAATGGAAATCTTATACAATCTTGCTGGGAATGTCAAACTGGTACAATTATTTTCAAAAACTGGCAGTATTTACTTTACTAAACCTGATATACCTATCCTATGAGCCAGCAATTCCACTAGGTATATACCCAATATGTACGTGATTGAGGTAATGAACGTAGCTGTTTATTAGGGCAGATTAAGAATCTGTCAGGAAGAACCTGCCTGGCTTATCAGTAGTGCCTGACAAATGTTAGGTGACAATGATATTCACTGCAACTCTACAGGCTTTTTTTATTTTTTTATTTTTGAGACAGAGACTTGCTCTGTTGCCCAGGTTGTAGTGCAGTGGCTCGATTTAGGCTCACTGCAACCTCCACCTCCCAGGTTCATGCGATTCTCATGCCTCCGCCTCCCAAGTAGCTGAGATTACAGGCACGCACCACCACACCCAGCTAATTTTTGTATTTTTAGTAGAGACAGGGTTTCGCTATGTTTGCCAGGCTGGTCTCGAACACCTGACCACAAGTGATAGGCCCACCTCAGCCTTTCAAAGTGCTAGGATTACAGGCATGAGCCACTGCGCCCGGCCAACTCTACAGGTTTGATCATTTGAGGGATCAAGGACTGCAATCAATCCAGTAAGATCACAAGTAAAACACATTATAAAAATTTGCCAATTCACCAATTCCCAAATCACGTTTGTTCATGACAATCTAAAGGAACGGCCGATGCCACCCTTCTACTCACGCTGGCTTGCCGGTGCCGCACTGCTGCCCTCAGCTCATCTCGCAGATGCCGCAGTTTATGAATCTTGGTTCCAAGAGCACCCTCCTGGGCCTGCACGCTCTGTGGCTCTTCAGACTGTTTACGGGATTTGCTCATTTGGGTCTCTAGCCTTTCCAAGTGAGCTAAAACACCTAAGGGGAGTAAAAGGAGAATTTCACAAGAAGCCAAGGATTTCTCACTGTGGCAACCAGACTCCTCTCAGGGAAGAACAGGTGACTCTTTTTTACCAGAACTTTGTGGCCAGCTGAATTGTTAGGTATCTGTCAATTTATAAAACCAAGGAAGCTAACAATTGAAATCAAAGATCATCAACCTTGTAGGTTGAAGAGTGATGTAAAACAGGATCCTCTTCAAAGAGAGCCTGAGAGAGGACATGAACTATCACACACTGATTAGGCAGCAGTGTCTTATCTAGGTCTGCAGTTTATCGAAAATCTACATCTCTAGTGTGTAAAGGATGATTCCGTAGCTTTACCACGGGCTGGAGAGAATCCCCCTCAAGGCCGGGTGTGGTGGCTCATGCCTGTAATCTCAGCACTTTGGGAGGCCAAGGTGGGGGGGGGGAATCACCTGAGGTCAGGTGTTCGAGACCAGCCTGAACAACATGACGAAACCCCATCTCTACTAAAAATACAAAAAATTAGCCGGGCATGGTGGCATGGGCCTGTAATCCCAGCTACTCAGGAGCCTGAGGCAGGAAAATTGCTTGAATCCGGGTGGTAGAGGTTACAGTGAGCCAAGGTTGCACCATTGCACTCCAGCCTGGGTGACAGAGCAAGACTCTGTCTTGCTCTTCTTTTTGTTTAAAAAAAAAGTCCCAGACTTTATTTAATCGGGCTTCTTAAGTACACCTGGCATCTATTTTGTAGGATTCATACAGATAAATGTATGAAAATCTTAATCTTCTTTCCTTGCCTTGGGACAGAATCCAAAAACTTATTCACTCATCTAATTAAGACTGGAAACCTCTTACGGTTTTTACGGCTAATAAAACCATTAAAAAAAATTGTGTGAGATCAAATAGAAACAGAAACACTATATGCAGAATTATCCTGTTTTCGTCATTGAAGCCTATCCCTTCTTGCTTTCTCAGAAACCGTCAATGATCAGTTACCCATTTTCTCAGCTGTGTTCATTTCCCTTCCACATATGCTCAAGTCTCAAATGTCTTCAAACACACACACTCATACACACACTCATTCACACACACACATTCACTCACAGGCCTATTCTTGCTCACAAATCCCCTTCAGCTACCATTGCCCTTTTCTCTCCTTTCCTTTCCAGGAAAACTACTTAAAAGCATTGTCCATGCAAGTTGAGTATCCCTCATCTGAAAGTCTTGGGTCTAGAAGTGTTTCTGATTTCAGAATTGGGAATATTTGTGTTATACTTACTGGCTGAACATCCCATATCTGAAAATCCAAAATCAGAAATAAGCATTTCCTTTGAGCATCATGTCAGTGCTTCCGATTTTGGAGTATTTCAGATTTTGGATTTTCAGTTCTCAACCTGTACTCACTTTCTCCATTTCCTTGCCCGTGACTCATACCTTAACCCACTTGAAACTCACTTCTGTTCCTATTATTTTACAAAACGACTCTAAGATCAACAGTGATGTCCATGCTGCTGAACCCAAAGAACATTTTTCGAGCGCCCTTATCTCACCTCCCAGCGCTATATGCTTCTACTGATCACCACTTTCACGAAATCCTCTTTTCCCTTGAATCTTAGCATACCAGCCTTGGTAAGGTTTGCCTTGTTGAATAAATGTTTATTAAGCATCTATTTTGTGCCAAGCACTATTTTAGACACTAGGAACACAGTGATGAACTAGAGATGAACACCTTGGTTTTCTGAAGCTTACATTTTACCGCTCTGACCCCTCTTTCTGCTTTGCAGGCTGCTACTCTCCTCCTTGACCATTAAATGCGGAAATTTTCCAGAGCTCAGTCCTAAGACCTCTTTTCTCCAGAAGAAATCTCATCAGTACCCACAGCCTTAATGGCCATATATGTCAATGCCTCACAAATATGTATCTTTAGCTTATACCTCTCTCCTGCTCCTGAGAAAGCAGAATATCTACCTGCCTTCTCAGTGCATCTACTTGGAAGACTTACAGAAACCTGAGAATCAACATGTCCAAGACTGAATTCATCATCTTCCCCCTCTAAACCCCCCCATGACTGGAACCATCATCCACTTAGCTGTGTAAGCCAGGTACTTTCTTCCTTACACCTTCTCCTGCCCCAGTCCTAATCTGTTACCAAATCCTACTGAATATACATTCCTAGTATCTCTGAAATATTTCCATTTTCCCCATCTGCACTGCCACCATTGTAGTTCAAGCTACCACCATTTCTGGCCGATTACAATTTTCCTAGGTGGCCCATACAATGAAGGCATATTTCAAAACCTAAATTGTGTCACATCATCCAGCTGGCTAAAGCCTTTCGATGACTGCACACTGCCTACGAAGCCTACTGGCCTCTGCGTCTCTCCTGCCCTCGTCAGTATCATGCTGCTCCTTCTCAATGCTCTTCCACACAGCCCTCCTCTCAGCCTCTCAAACCTGCCCAGCTTCTTTACCAACCTGATTCCCCCTACACCAGATGCTCTTCCACGGCCCCTTATCCACCTTCACCTGCAGTTACTCTAGCTCGTTAGCACTCAATGCAAGCAGCAGTTCCTCAGGTAAACCTTTGTAGCACCTTCAGAACAAGGTCAGCTGCCAGCACATAAGATCTCAAAGAGCCTGAGACAATATTATAGTTTTTTTGTTTGTTTTGTTTTAAATAAGAAACGCGGGTCTCACTATGTTTACCAGGCTGGTCTCAAACTCCTGAGCTCAAGCGATCCTGCCACCTCGGCCTCTCAAAGTGCTAGAATTACAGGCTTGAGCCACCGCACCCAGCCCTATAGTTTTCATTGTATATTCATTAATGTGATTATTTGATTGCTTATCTCTCACCAAACCTTAAAGTTCCTAAATCAGGGGCCATGTGCATTTCTGTTCACCCATGTATCCCTTATACCTGGCACAATGCCTGCCACATGGTAAACACTCTGGAAATATTTACCAAAACATGGACAACCAGGCATGCTGCTGCTGGAGATTAGTTCACTTGGCGTATATCCACAGGAAGATCCACATTACTGCAATAATATTCGTGAAATACCAAAATTTTAAATAAATTAGTCCTAACAATTGGCACGTGATTCACTGCTTTATTAAGAAATCTCTCTGTCCAACAACTATGTATCGAGAATCTACTATAGACCAAGGACCATGCTGGAAACTATTCATACCGTGGTGGCAAAATGAAGTTCCTGTCCTCATAGAGCTTACAAAAATTATTTAATGTCCAACCAGGAGGTGCTCTGAAAAGCACATACACACGGTTTAATTTAGAGTGGCACAGGTGATGCCTGACCAAATTCTATTTTATGGAAATTCTACATTACTAAAAGAGGAGCTATCACTGTTCCCGAAGTTTCTGAGATAAGCAGGTGTTCAAAACTATGTTAGCTTGTTGTTTAGCGTTGCTACTACAGAAAAGAGAGTCTATCTGCTGAGCCTGCTTTACCTTGGAAGTTATGATTGCATCTCATGCTCATCAGTCAGCTTTGTCAGAAAAAAAGGTTACAAAAAAGGTCAAAATCCCTGCCCATTTGAATAAATCATCTGAACGCAACTAAAATTCCGTGTCCTTCCTTCTCAAATGAGTGGGGAGATTTCAAATCATAAGCAAAAAGCTGAAATGACAGAAGCAGAGGGATAAAACGAGTCTGGGTAACAGCTAAATGTTTAAATATTGTTTTGGGTACAGAATAAGGGGACTGGTCTAAGTCTCTAGATAATCCAAAACCTCCACCTCACTGCTTATTTTAACAGAAACAAAATTAGGCCTGGACTAGCGAGTAGGTTACTCCTGAATGTGTAGCATGTTTCTACTACATAAAGTCACCAAACTTATTTTTAGTCTTAAAGTAACAATAAATCTTACCCCATACACTTTTATTATCTAAAGTCTCAGCTTAAGTCATCTTAAGCTGAATATAGCTACTTCTCAGTTGTCAAGGATAACGATGACCCAGAGAAAAGTAGGGTCGCCAAATTCACTGAGACACTCAGAAATTCTTTTTAAAACTGTAATATTTTAGGTTGGGTTTTATGGCAAGCTTTCCCAAAGTACTAGTGCAGAACCCTTTGGATTTAGGCATCAGGTTTGATTAAGTATTTCAAAGTTCTAAAAAGTATTCGTAGCACAGGACATAAAGTCATACAAAACCAAACTGTCCACAAATATTACTGGGCACTAAAGAGGAAAGCAACTTTACTTCTGGACAGAAATTCGCATGTAAATCTCAGTTTCCAAAGGACTAAGGACTAAGTAAGAGTTCATAATTCTAAGCAACTCTAACAATAAAGCATTCTTTAAACACTTTCTACATCTTAAGATACTTACAGAGTATGTAAAGAATTAAACCTTTTATTGAATACTTCCTATATATTAGACACGTGCTAAATGCTTTACTTGAAAAGTCTGAATACCTTTCCACCACAAAAGAAACACCTTTTCCACAACCACCACAACAGCGCTATTTTCACTTGCATTTTCCAGAGGAAGAAACTGAGGCAGAAAATAAACTGACTTGCCTGAGATCATAATATTTAAAATGGCAGAGCCAAGACTCAAACCCAGTTCTAACCAACACCAAAGTCACGGCCCTGCACTGGCCCTCCCTCAGGAGTAATGCATAAATGGCCCAAAAAATCCAGGGAGAGGAAAGAGACCCCTGGCTAGAACCCTAGTTCAGAATATAAACACAGCACATAACGGATGCAACTTATCGGTTTCAAAACGGGTGGGAGCCTAGAAACGAAGCCATTTTTCCTCCTCGAATGGTCTTGGCTGCCTGTCCCTTTGTCTTCAGTGTTAGGTCCTTTCACCATTCTGCTCCCAAACGGGCCAGGTCTCACGTCAGTTCCAGGAGGAAAGGGCTCTCTCAGCCTGCGGATCATCTTTGGGCAGCAGCAGAAAGGGGAAGGCGGCGACCCTCTGATTACCTCCTTTGGACTCGCCATCTGGACGTAAAGGGTTCGCCTGCTCCATCTCAGATTCCCAAGGGCCTTCTCAAGAAGTTGTCCAGCAAGCGGTGATAGGGACCTCAATGTCCTTGCTGGTTAAAAAAAAAAAAAAAAAAAAATAGCAAGAGAGTCATATCATATCTATTCCCATTCAAAATCAGACGGCAGGGCACACACCACTCAGGCACAACCCCTGGGCCGCGGATGACACAAATGTCACCGCTAGGACCCCCTGCCTTGAGCCGCCCGCCCGCTCCCAGCGTCGGAGCCAGCAGAGTCCACGCCCACCCCCGCGCCCCCTAAACGCTCCCGAAGGCACGGCTCCTCCGTCCAGCGGGCTTCCCAGCCAGGAAAGAAATTTTAAGAAGGCTGTTCAGCCCCCCACCCTGGCCACTGTCCGGTCCAACACTGGGTCTTTCCCCTACCTTTTTTTTTCCTTCTGGCTCACCCAGGCCAGGGGCGAGAATTCCCGCCATCCACGTCTTCAAAATCAACTCAACCGGTCCCGGCGTGCTTTGCGATACTGCCGTACAAAAACATGGCGGCGCTCAGGGCCCCGCCCTGATCCCAGCATGCTCCGGAGAGTAGGTCCGGTCTTTCGGGTGGTCAGGAAGATGGCGGCCTCAGGGGCGGAGCCGCAGGTCCTGGTACAATACTTGGTGTTACGAAAGGATCTATCACAAGCTCCGTTCTCCTGGCCGGCGGGCGCATTGGTAGCGCAGGCTTGTCACGCGGCCACTGCGGCCTTGCACACTCACCGCGACCACCCGCACACAGCCGCTTACCTCCAAGAGCTGGGGCGCATGCGCAAAGTGGTCCTTGAGGTGAGGCACACGGGCGGAGGGGGAGGTGCTGAGACGTCGAGGGCTCTCGCTTGGGGTCAGTACAAAGTGAAGTCAAACTGAGTATTTACCTGGGTAGGACGCCAAATTATTTGAAAATAAATATTAAAAACCTTAGTAAAAATTGAACCTAGCCTCAGATAGACCAGGCACCAGGGGTGTAAATCGGTACCCCTTTTAAAATAGCAGTTAGGTTCTTTTTGCAGATGACCAAGCAAATCTCACCCTTACCCTTTGACTCTGTCTCTCCTGCTGCTTCGAGATATAGCCTAAGAAAATAATCAGATGCACCCAAAGAGCTTTGCACAAGGATAATCATGGGAGCCCTTAACGGTTTTGAAGCATATTTAGTGGCCTGGAAGCGTGCTCATGATTCGAAGCTAACTGAACTATATATACAGAATGATCCAGGCTTCGAAAGGAAAAACTAAGGAAATATATCTAAATATTAAGCAGTACATGGTGAGATTTTGGTTATTTCCTAATGCTTCTCTATAGTTTTTAAATTTTCTACCTTAAGCACATATTTTATAATAAGGAAAAATGGCTTTAATTAAGCCAGAACTCAGGTGGAGGGGGAGAGTAATCCCTTCATGGGTAACTGGCAAAGACAGGTTATCGTTCAAGAAAATTGCTGCTGGGTAGCGAAACATCAAGCGGTAACCTGTAGGAAAATGTCTTGAGAATCTGAGTAGGCAGAACAGAAGCCGCTGGCTTTTCACTTAGATTTTCTTCCTAGGAAGACGCCTCAGGAAATCAGGTTCAGACTCCTCTTGTCGCAGATGATATGAAGCCCACAGAGATTAAGTGACTCCCCGGAGTTTAAAAGACGTCTGCTGATTCTTAGTTGTTAGTCATGACTCAAGAAAGGGACTTAGGAGTTGCTACTGGTTAAGTTGAGGTGCTGTTGTAGTCAGAAAGGCCAACAAAATATAAGACGATACCAGGATTAACATTTATTGGGTCCTTAGTACGTGCCAGGCACAGGTCTGAGCCGAATTTCATTAATCCTCCTATTTTATAAAGGGACGAAGAGAGGCTGGGCAAAGTGGCCCACGCCTGTAATCCCAGCACTTTGGGAGGCTGAGCCGGGTGGATCACCTGAGGTCAGTTCAAGACCAGCCTGGCCAACATGGTGAAACCGCGTCTCTACTAAAAATACGAAAATTAGCCAGGCGTAGTGGTGGGTGCCTATAATCACATCTACTTGGGAGGCTGAAGCAGGAGAATTGCTGGAACCCAGGAGGCAGAGGTTGCAGTGAGCCGAGATGGCACCACTGCACTCTAGTCCAGGTGACAGAGCAAGACTCGGTCCAAAAAAAATAAATAAATAAAACGAAATAATTAGCCGGATGTGGTGGCAGGCACCTGTAATCCCAGCTACTTGGGAGACTGAGGCAGGAGAATCGCTTGAACCCAGGAGGGAGAAGCTGCAGTGAGCCGAGATCGCACCCCTGCACTCCAGCCTGGGTGACGGTGCAAGACTCCATCTCAAAAAGAAGAAATCCTTCCACTGGGCAGCTGTTAAAGTCAGAGGCACTTAAAATTATGGGCATAGCCATAGGAGAGCTAGAAAACGTGTAGAGCAGAATTACACATTACACGTGTGTGTTGGGCATGCAGCATCTCACGAGGGAAGATACAAATCTCCATTTTCTGAACAGGAATATGAAGCTTCTCTCCCTTCCCCAGTGCAGCAAGGAATGGCATGGTTGTTCTGCAGCTCCTTCTTTGCTAAAGCTGTTACTCCACTTTCAGTTACGAGGACTCCTGAAACCTTTTTTGGCCTTCTGACACTTCCTAGATGGTCTATTCAGTTTGTGTTCTGTGTTCTCCTTTAGGCCCCAGATGAGACCACCCTAAAGGAGCTGGCTGAGACCCTGCAACAGAAGAACATTGACCACATGCTATGGCTCGAGCAACCAGAGAATATTGCCACGTGCATTGCTCTCCGGCCCTACCCCAAGGAAGAAGTGGGCCAGTATTTGAAGAAGTTCCGACTGTTCAAATGACTGCTGCTTTGATATGCTTGAATATCAACTGGATCCAGAAACAGCAGACCACCCATTCCTAAGCATCGTGTGCTCCCTGCAGTGTCAGCTTGCTCCCCTCTTTCAGTTGTGACAATTTCTTGAGGGTTAAGCACGTGTTCATATTAAAGTTGTCACTAATAACTACTTCCTCTTATTATTATTAATAAGTTCAAGTGGGGAAGGTGGGTGAGCAGTATTGTCTGGGGATCATTACTCAAATAGAAGATTTGGTTATGCTCTCCTGTGGGGATCAAGGAAACTCCATCATCCAGGTTTGGCTGGGCACAGTGGCTCACGCCTGTAATCCCAGCACTTTGGGAGGCCAAGGCAGGCAGATCATCTGAGGTCAGGAGTTTGAGACCAGCCTGGCCAACATGGAGAAACACTGTCTCTACTAAAAATACAAAATTAGCTGGGTATGGTGGCATATCTGTAATCCCAGCTACTCGGGAGGCTGAGGCAGGAGAATGGCTTGGACCCAGGAGGCGGAGGTTGTGGTGAGCCCAGATCACACCACTGCACTTGAGCCTGGGCAACAAGAGCAAAACAAAAATCACCCAGGTTTGAAACTTTGCTTTTGAATTCCTTGTTTCTTACTCACAGTCAGGTATCATATTTCATTGACTCTAAGACAACATGAACTTTATGATGCAGTAATATTTGATGTATTATTTTTAAAAATGCTGGCAATTAAATTAAAACATGCAATTGATTGTATTTCAATAACAAAGATGTTAAAATTTGGCCAGAGCGGTGGCTCATGTCAGTTAATCTCAGGGTTTTGGGAAGCCAAGGCAGGATTGAGCCCATGAGTTAAAGGTACAGTCAGCTCTAATCATGCCACCATACTCCAGCCTGGGCAACACAGTGAGACAGTGTCTCTAAAATAATAACAAGAAGTTAAAATTTGTGTGTCTATATATATGTACATAGATACAAATTTATTTGATTCGATGAAATCTGCCAAGTACTACAGCTGTTTTCTTGTCATTTCAGTGCCACTGCCCTGTGTCAGCCTCTCATTTTGCTCACTGGGGTGCCCCATGGTCTGTTCACCACTAGTGTGACGCTGCAATCCAGCAGCCACTCTGCCATCAGATAGGACGGCTGAGCACGTGTGTGGTCTAGGCTCCTCCCTGCCTACAGAGTAATCCCAGCACTCCTTAGCTTAGCCTTCAGGCGGTCCTCATGTTTATTTCCTTTTTCTTTTTCCCGAGACGGAGTCTCTCTCTGTCACCCAGGCTGAAGTGCAGTGGCAAGATCTCTGCTCACTGCAATCTGGGCTCAATTGATTCTCCTGCTTCAGCCGCCCGAGTAGCAGGGTGTGTGTCACCATGCTGGCTAATTTTTGTATTTTTAGTAGAGATGGGTTTCATCATGTTGGCCAGGCTGGTCTCGAACTCCTGACCTCAGGTGATGTGCCAGCCTTGGCCTCCCAAAGTGTTGAGATTACAGGCGTGAGCCACCACGCCCAGCCTCCTACCTATATTTTTAGTTGAATCTTCTATTCCCTTATTCAAACTTGATGTTTCCACAGAGTCACTCCAGTTGCTGTTATCTCTGGCATGGGAGTTGAATGTTATTACTCCTCCCTCCCTTTTCTGCCCCTGGACTTGGCTGAAACTATTTCCAGCTCAAGTGCTATCACTGCCAAAAATTCTTACCCAGCCAAAAATGATAGTTCCCTTTGAACATCTGTAACACTCTGTACAATGTTTACAATATTTCTGTAAATATTTGGACACATCTACAGAAATTGCTTAGGTATCTGTGAAGCAAAGTTTATAAGGGGTAATTTGCTTAACAGATATCTATGGTTTGCCTATTGTGGCAGGCTGTACGTAAAATAGTTTTTACCCTTAGGTAGTAAGGATCTATATGAGTATTACCCTTCCCCCTTAGATAACTTTGTACTACGATCCCAGATAAGATTTCCCTTTATGGGCCCAGTGTGTGGGCTCACACCTGTAATCCCAGCACTTTGGGAGGCACCTGAGGTCAGGAGTTCGAGACTAGCCTGACCAACATGATGAAACCCTGTCTCCACTAAAAAAAAAAACAAAATGAAAAACTCAGGCACAGTGGTTCATGCCTGTAATCCTAGCATTTTGGGAGGCCAAGGATGGTAGATCGCCAAAGGTCAGGCGTTTGAGACCAGCCTGGCCAACATGGCAAAACTCCGTCTCTACTAAAAATACAAAAATTAGCCGGGCATGGTGGTGGGCGCCTGTAATCCTAGCTACTCGGGAGGCTGAGGCACGAGAACCACTTGAACCTGGGAGGCGGAGGTTGCAGTGAACTGAGGTTGCACCATTGCACTCCAGCCTGGGCGACAAGAGTGAAACTCGGTCTCAGAAAAAAAAAAATTACCTTTATGACAGGTGGTCACCTGAATCGAGGAGAGTGGATGGCGTCTCACAGGGAAAATCGGTAGAGTGCTGAGGAGAGAGCCAACCCCAGGAAGACAAGTGAATGAAAAGTTCAAGGGGTAGAGAGCAATCGTGCAGCATAGAATTTCAGTAAATAAAACATGGAAACATTTAGCAATTGGGAATGTACCGGTGAGCCTGGTGAAGTTTAAATAGCATAGTGAGGGTGGAAATCAGATTGTAGTCTGTTGAGACAAGAATGTGGGGGAGGTAAGAGGTGAGAAGTGTCCCTTCCAGAAGCTTGAAAGAGAGGAGAGACAGGATAATGGTTGAATGGGGCAGGAAAGAGCAATGCTGGGTTCCCTAGTGGGGATTTTCTTAGATCTTGAGCAAGTTGACGGGGGAAGAGGAGAAAGAGAGTGAGGAGAGCAGAGATTAAAGTTACCAAATAGAATAATTGATGAAGTCCAGAGAAAACAGGAAGACGTGGGGTCAAAGGCATCGGGAA